CCCCAGACCTCCTGAATGCCACAGATCCAGGCAGTACCAGTCCAACTCCCAATAGAGGCAGCCTCCCCTCTGCAGTGAGTGTTCGAGCATTCCACAAGCCGACTCACAGTGGATTTTTTTACTTTTCTGGAGGAATCCCGAGTGTACGGATTCAGTCTCGTGGATCCGCCAAATGGGGTTTGGACAAAAGGCTTCATAGATGCCTGTCCCCCTTGGGTCACCGGCACGCACCTACTCACTCACCCACCCACCTACCCACCCACCTAGCCACCAACTCGCCTCCTTATCCGCCCACTCACTCACTCACCCACTCACCCACCCATACATTCTCCAACTCACCGACTTACTGAACCATTTACTCACCCACAAACTTACCTACTCACTCGCCCACTCACTTACTCGCTTGCTCACTCACTCAGCCTTCCAATCACTCACCCACCTATTATTGCTGGACATCTGTGAAAAAGTTTCATAACTGATCGGGTTTCTCCAAGATGAATAAAGATTCTGATTCTCACCTTCCTACTCACCCACACATTCAAAATAAGGGTAAATGACCAGAACTAGGCAGGGAGACTAAAGTGCCATTTAAAGGAGTGAGTTTTCAGGACTTAAATATTGCTTAATTAGCAAACGCAAAGCGTTGTTCCAAAGCCTAAGCGCTGCACTGGCAACAGCCCAATAACTCCAGGACCAAAGCCTTGACTTATTATTTAACTATTTTTATTTTACAAGATAAGATCCAATGAGCTATGTGGCTATTTTTCAAAAGCGACCTGGCTATCACATATGATAGCAGCTGAAGGAAGTGGCTTATCCCGTGGAAATTTATAGCAGTAACCAAATACTCTCAACACGTGAAATAGATTCTACATGTGGAGGGAAAAACCGAAGGACCCGAAGAAAAATCCACAGGACCACGGGGAGAGAGTGAGACGTTGACTACAAAAGGTGTGGGGTCGGCATCAAGCCCATGGCCTCCTGCATACCAAGCCAGGGGGTAACGTCTCCGAGCCCACCGTGGCGCCTGGTGGCGATTCTTTAGAAGAAGGCGATCCGAAGATCTCAAGGACCTCGTTGGAGAGTAAACACGGATCAGTTCCAGCAAATATTGGGTGGCTAGCCCATTGAGAGCCTTGTAGGTCAGCAGCAGGGTCTTATAGTCCACTTGATACTTCTTCTTCTTGGTTCTTTTGGTAAAGTCACGTAGAATGGAAATAATAAAATAATAAAAATAAAACATAATAAAATAATTTAATATAATAATATTATTAAATAATATAATAATATAATAATGATACTTGACTGGTAGCCAATATAGAAACAAGAGAGCAGGTTTGTGATGATGTTCTCACGAAATGGTGGCCCTCCTTTAAAGCAGATACATTTCTACGTAGGATTATTGCCTAAAACGTCATCTATTATAAATGTATATGACATACTTACATTATATGTGTTATATATACGGTATATCTTCGATTATCTGGCAGCTTTAGGGGGGGGAAGGACGCACCGGATATAAAAAAAAACGCCGGATATTATTTTTGCACATTCTTGCATGACAGAATGTTTTAAGTGTTGTATACGTTATTTTAGTGTCTTAAATTAGTTTACTATATGAAATTGGCATAAATAAACATACAAATAGACTAAAAATAAATATCATACTCCAAAAAGTTACTGTATTTACTTACTGTACTTACCACTCCAATCTCGAAGACTCTGCATGGGGTGCTGTAAGTAGTACAGCTCTTGTTTCAACAACATGGGTTTGATGATTGCCGGACTGATGCGAATGCCTAATTATATACACTTTTCATTGGATCGCAATGTAGATTTTCATTTTTTTCTTACAATTATTATTAGTCATTAACTATTTATATACGTGCAGTATTTTCATTGTTTAAGTTGTATGTAGTGTATAATTTGCTGTAAATTATTTGACACTGAAATCAAGCGTAGCTACTTTTTTTGGCACACACATGGTACCGATCGCCGGACTGGAACAGCCTGCAGAGCGGTTTTGCCGGATCGGCCCGGGACCGCCGGATAATGTTGGAAGCCAGAAAATCACGCGCCAGATAATCGATGATCAACTGTAATGTATATATAATGGTTTATTGTAGCATTTTATGTGCTTTGAAGAGAGTAGACATTGATAATTTCCTATAGATATTACGGGGCTGTCCTATTGGGTGCCTATAGATGCATACATGGATGTTGAACTTATTTTGCAGCGGACATAGCCAACCATTTTGAAGGGTACTGAGAGATGGAGGCCAACTAATGCTGCGGTGCCCTGATCATCCATGATCTTAAATTTCGATTTAAAGCTTTCGTGACTGCAGGATTCATCTTCTTGGTGTTTTCGGTAAAGTCACGTAGAAGGGAAGTAATAAAATAATAAAAATATTAATAAAAATAAAACATAAAACATGTTTTCTTTTTATTATTGTATTACTTCCCTTCTACGTGACTTTACCGAAAAAACCAAGAAGATGAATCCATGATCTTGTAGAGGTCATCGGTAATTATCTTTAGTATAGCCATCTCAGTGCTGAAGAACTGCAACGGGTTGAATCGACCCATCACATCGACGTGGGGAAGTAACCACTTCAGACACAGGCACTCCACGACCTTTGAAATCATCATACTCGGATTTGCGATTAGTATAACGAGAGAGCTCTCAACACCTGCGTTTTGTCAGATCTGCTGTATATTGCGGAGGCCTGGACATTGCTTCAGGCTGATTTGGATCAGCTGCAGTCCTTCCACATGTGAATGCAAAAAATGCCTTCTTGGCATCGGATGATTCGACTTAGAAATGTTACCATTGGGACATTTTCCACCAGTCTCTTCGTGATGGAGAGCTCAGTTCAAAGGAGACGGCTCTGTCACGTTGTGGACACGTCGCCCGTCTTGATGCACAAACTTCAACAAATTGCGCAACTTGAGTTGGCGGTCAAAGTTTGAAGTGGATTGCGACCATCAAAGGAATGGCGCTGCCTCTGTGATCTGTGGATCATCTATATATATAAAATCGTTCATGTCTGTCTGTGTGTGTGTGTGTGGACTTTGGCCCATACGCACTTTCATTGGACGGCGGTTGCCCCTGGCAACGGCTAGCCACGCCTTCGCCGCTTTCATTGGACCTGGCAACGGCTAGCCACGCCTTCGCCAAGGGCTGCAGTTTCATTGGACGGCGGTTGCCCCTGCCAACGGCTAGCCACGCCTTCGCCACTTTCATAAGCTCCGTATTTAATTAAATAATAGCCATTACACAGTATTGTTGGAGCGCTAGGGGGGGGGAAAGGAACGCCACCCGTACCCTGCCTCTTCCAAGCCGACAATTTTAGGCGAGGCCGCAGGCTTTGCACGCTACTAGGCCTCGACACCCACCACGCCACTCTGAGGTAAATTCATCAAAGTTTTTCCTACTCTTCACTACACCCCCACCACAATGTGTGCTATTAATATTACTTTTAAACCCAACGCGCCAACAATCGATTACTTTAATGTTCACTGTACAAATACTCATTAAGCTGGGTGAGCGTACTGCCAGTCTATCATGTACACTGTAGCCTGCTTATTAAGCTCGGTGAGCGTACTGCCACTCTATCATGTACACTCTAGCCTGCTTATGAAGCTGAGTGCGTGTACTGGCAGTCTATAATGTGGACTCTTGCCTGGTTATTATAATCGATTCTTTATATGTTCTTTGTACAAACAGTCATTAAGCTGCTTGAGCGACCCCAGTTCGATTCCAACTCACGCCCACCACCGCTGACGATTATTTGAAACGGACCTGGCCCTCCCCTAGGTCCACTCAGCCTCAAAAGCGTAACTGCTGTCGTGTGTGAACATCGTCACTGGGGAGACAAAGGCGGCGGGGCATCGTGGATCCAAGTCCCGGGCGAAGCCGGGTCATGTGTATGTGTGTTTGTGTTTATGTGTATGTCTGTGTGTCTCTATGTATGTGTGTATGTATGTGTATGTATGTGTTTGTGCGTATGTGTGTGTATGTATGTGGGTTTTTTTATGTCTTTATGTGTATGTCTGCGTGTCTCTATGTATGTGTGTATGTACGTGTGTGCATGTGTTTGTGTGTATGTATGTGTGTGTCTATGTATGTGTGTGTCTATGTATGTGTGTGTATGTGTGTGTATGTATGTGTGTTATGTGTCTGTCTGTGTCTGCATGTATGTGTGTGTGTATTGTGTATGTGTTTGTGTGCATGTATGTGTGTGTTTGTGTGTATGTGTATGTCTGTGTGTATGTGTTTGTGTGTATGTGTGTGTGTATGTGTTTGTATGTGTTTGTGTGTTTACGCTCGCATTACACAAATGTGTTGCTGGTCTAAGGCGTTCCTCGCACAGCATTGCCGCTTTATTATTTCAGTCGTTTACTGCCTTACGCACCCTGAAAGTCGTGTGTGTCTGCAGCAAGCGCGTGTATGTGTACCTATGGACGCCGCGCGCGTGTGTTGTGTAGGGGGAACGGTAGTGTAGTGCTTAGCGTGCTGCCTGTGTCTGTGTGTGTGTGTCTGTGTGTGTGTGTCTGTGTGTGTGTCTGTGTGTGTGTCTGTGTGTGTGCGTGTGTGTGTGTGTGGGGAGCGGTAGTGTAGTGGTTAGCGTGCTGTCTGTGTGTGTGTTTCTGTCTGTGTGTGTCTGCGTCTGTCTGTGTGTGTGTCTGTGTGTGTGGTCTGTGCGTGTGTGGTGTGTGAGGAGCGGTGGGTGTAGTGCTTAACGCTACGCTGCGCTACCAACCCGGCAAACCCAGTTCGATTCCCGCTCACCGGCCACCACCGGTGACGATTATTTGAACCTCCCCTAGGTCGACTCTGCCTCAAACGAGTAACTTAACTACTGTAGCGTATTAACATCGCCACTGGGGAGACAAAGGCGGCCGGCCGTGGTAGATACAAGTCCCGGGCGAAGCCGGGGTAGTACAGCTAGTACAAATATATGAGTGATAAATTAATGAATCTCAACACCCTCTAGGTCTCCTGCAGTTGGCCGAGGCGCTGCTCGCCCTGCTGGTGCTGGCCTGCGTGGCTTCATCGCAGGCCGTGTTGGCCGGCTACAGCGGCACTGGGACCGGGCCTCGGCTATGCGAGCTCTGAGCTATCGGGCGGCTACTCCGGGTTCGAGGGAGCTGAGCTGCAGCCGAGCGCACGACCTGGACGCTGCCTTCACCCTTCTCAGGGCGCCGGCACTCTATGGGGGGGTGGCGTTCTCCCTCGTGGCCGCTGTAGTCCCGATCGGGGTCATGCTGGCCGTGGCGCGGTATGCAACAGTCGGTCGGGTTCAGTCGAGTTTATAGGTAGTTGTATGTGTGTGTGTATGTTGAACTTATTTGGCACTATATGTAGCCAACTGTGCCAATCAGAGGTGCGGGGGGAAGGACAATAAACTAAAACAACAGGGCATTTCTAAAGAAATTAGTTTGTCAATATAGGTGATTTAAAAGTGAATCACTCCAGTGGCTTCCAAATATCTGAAGAAAGAGAGATCCAGACGGCCGCAGAAGTGCATGTTAGAGTGTGTGATACAGCGACATTATTTTTTTCGATAGTTAGTCAAAAGTTTTGTATACAATGTTTAGTATAGTGTATAGTGTATTATAGTGCAGTGTCTATAGCATTTGAAGTCGCACGATGAACAGACTGTCTTTATTTGTGGGCTATCCAAAAGTGTAATGTATAGTTTCGTGTATATCAGTGTATACTATAGTGTATAGTCCTGCATAATGTAATATATAGTTCAGTGTATAGTGTAGTGTATATATATATAAAATCTAAAAGCGTGTGATGCGGTGACCATCTTTGTTCGATGGCTAGCCAAAAGTGGCTGCGAGGATGAAGGGAGTTTGTGTGATTGCTCATGCTCCTTGACGAGATCAGCAAGGTACAGTATTGTGGTTCATTTGTGGCAAGAACGTTGTGTGTAACGAGTGCAGCCTTATTTTGTGTTAGTTTCGGCAAATGGAAGCCAATGCAGCTCAGTGAGCAAAGTATGTTCACCCTTGCGCACCAGATTCAACGCTCACCACAGTCGTATCGCACGTACGTACCGACCAGGTCGGGCAGATGGGAGCAGATTGTACGAGTGTTGAACTTCTTTCGCACCAGATGTAGCCAACCGTGCTAATCGTGGTTCCCTTTCACACCTCAGGTCGTTTTTTTCTACGAGAATGAGTGAATACCGTGTGGGGTATTAAAGTGACGGATAATAATCAATGTGCCTCCCTATGCTTCTGTACCTGCCTCTGCATAGCCCCTACCCCTCATGAACTACCTCGTCCATAGCGCTCAGCAGGACAGAAAAGAGGCCGGACAGAAGCGCCTTCCGTTCGCCTCCTGTGGGTAGAGCTGTTCATGGACGCGATGGGTAGTGCGGCATCATAGCCGGGCGTAGCGCTCTACTACCTGTACCAGGTGTTGGAGGTGAACAAGGAGCGACACCTGCAAGCAGCGGGAGCAGCTGTACATAAGCCGCGGTTACACTTGGATGACGTGTACACTCGCAGGTGAGAGTTGGGGGGTACGGATGAAGGCGGTTGCCGTATCTTATCTTTGCACGTTTCTTGATGTATATAGCAGCAACGTCTGAAAGGGGCACCGTGTTGGCGAAATGTTAACGCCCTCTCCTAGTATGCCTGTATATTTGGAGTTTGCATGTTCTCCCTGTTGTTGCATGCATTTGTCTGTGGTTCCTCCAATTTCTCTCTCCACATTTAGAATCAAAATGGTTTTAGAATATTTGGGTGCTATCAATTTCTACATTATAAGCCCCTTCGTTGCTCTATTATTTGTGGCCACGTCGCATCTGAAAAAGAGCTATATAGCTCAGTGGGCTTCACCTGATTAAAATAAAAAAAATAGGTGAGTGTTTAGTTTACTCTTAATCCAAGTTGCTTTACGACGATTATAAAATTGTGCATGAGATGAGTGTGATTGAGTTAAACAGTGGGGTTTCTAATTATGAAAAGTGGGGTGGTATAAAAACTTAATTTGGAGCTTTCGTGACTGCAGGAATTACTCTTCGGTTCTTTCGGTAAATACACGTATAAAGATAAAATAATTAATTAAATACTAGCATACGACGTTTCGATTGCAACACAAGCAATCATCATCAGGTATAAATGAAATAGAAACACAAATCTAGTATACTAAGAAATGTAATGTAATGCAACAGAGAGTCGGATAACATAACAGTCAACAACACCCTACCTGGTTGATTACGTTCTTCCTGAGAATGCTAAATTTGAGAGAGAGATAAAACACAGAACCAGAGACATATAGACAGACATATAAGCAGACAGATATCACAGAGATGCATAGAGAGAGAACAAACATAGGCACACAGAGAAACCACGCCTCTGTGTCGAGGCCTTAAATAGAGAGAGGGGGCGGGGGCGGAGAGAGAGGGAGGCGTTAGATAAATTAGCATGTCAATGAGTGGCACGGTGAGTGCCAAGGTGCAAAAGCTTGAGAGAGGGGGCGGGGGCAGAGAGAGGATGGGATGAGTTAGAGACAATAGCATGGCAATGAGTAGCACGGTGAGCAAACGCTTGAAAAAATTAGGAGACAGGGAGAGAGACACACTGAATTAAATAACCTAGCAAAATGTCTAAATGTAATGTAATGCAACACAGAGAGTCGGTCAACCACACCAATTACACGCATAGCCTGGTTGATTTACGTTTTTCAAAGATTGCTAAGTTAGAAGTTTAAGTGTGAAATTTTAAAGAGAGACAAGACACAAACACGAAGAACAGACAAAAGCAGAGAGGGAGAGGGACAACAGCCGAGACACACAGAGAGAGCAGAACATAAGAACGACAAAATGAGTGGAGACAGAGAAAGTATATTAAATCAAATTAAACCTAGCAAAATTTCGAAATGCAATGCATGCAACACAGAGGGTCGGTCACACACAATTAACGCATAGCCTGGTTGATAACGTTCTTCCAAAGATTGCTAAATTAGAAGTTAAGTGTGAAATTTGAAAGACACAGACACGAAGACCTATACACAAGCAGAGAGAGACAACAATAAACCCAGAGAGAGAGAACAAACAAACTTAAAACTTCCCCGTAAAAGTGGTTCAAACTTAATTTGGAGCTTTCGTGACTGCAGGAATTACTCTTTGGTTCTTTCGGTAAAGTCACGTGTGGAGGAGGGTGTACAACACAATCTGACGACAAAAAAATTATAATCATGAATCGTAAGATGAATAGGAATTTAGTACATGTAGCGTAATGCTACCATGAAACAAGGCACTACGTACACATAGAGTTTTCAGAAGTTTCACAGGAGGGAGCAATGGTACTATGTCTGTGCATTCCCAAATCGAGTAATTTTCTGTAATTTTTTTAACATGGCAAAATATGGATCATAATGCACGGCGCACAATGAGTTACTCCTTTGCCATAATGTGAGTGGATTTGTTTACATCCACTGAATCAGTTGGGTT